TCCAAATGAAGAACAGCTGATCTTTTATCAATTTTCATTGATGTAGTACGTTGTATATTATATTATTATAGTTGTCTTGCCATTTTGGCATAGCATCCATTCAATTGCATGAGTTCTTCATGGCTGCCAGCCTCAACAATACTTCCGTCATTCATTATGCATATTCTGTAACAGTCATCAACTTATAATGTTGTGAATATTCTAAGAAACTTATCGTAGTTTTCGAGGTCTTCGAGTGAGTTCACAATAGCAATGTATGTTCTTCCATTTGAAAAAAGATTATTCCAGAAAAAAAAAAAATTACTCTCGGAAGGCGAGCCTTTTAAACGATGGCAGGTGAAAGTGCTCACGGCCACATAAGGCCGTATTCTTTGGTTTTCCATTGATGGTTGTAAGGTTGTTAGAAAAGTTCAAATTTTCAGATTTTTTGATATTTGTTTTTGATACACCGAGAAACAACTGCCGTTTGCGGTGGCACGCTGATGGTGGCCAAATAGAAAAAAGACATTTGACAGAGCCAGATAGTGTGACTGGATATTGGAATTGTAGTCTGTTGATGTTTATGGAACGTTAGAATCGGAGATTAACCTACTCTTTATCAAGCGGCTCAAATGATAAATAATATGAAGTGCATAGTTTTCGAAACATTAACACACCAGTTGGCCCTACCGGAAACAGCTGTGTGAGAAAAGTGTCATTAGGCTTCTTCAGCTCAAAAGTGTTCTCCTCCCACCTTCTTCAGATCTTTTTTTGCTGAATCTTTCACGAATAAACTGGTAAAATTGCTTTCTCAATTTTTCTTTATTTGTTTCCAAACTTCTGTTTATACTCCAGCTTATTGAGAGCTATTACTGTGGTCATTGTCTTCAATCATCTCATTTCTTCGTTGGAGATCTTCCAGTTGACAAGTGTTTCTCAAAAATAAATTTTTTTATGGCTTTCATTGAACTTTTCATCAGATTTTTGTTATAAAAAACGATTTATTATAAACCTTTTGAACAATAATATTTTCATTTGAAGAAGAAATGAGTTTTCACTAATTATCCGTGGAGGCCTGGAACCTTTTGGTTTCGAAAGTGAAAAAAGTTCTGGGAGATTCTCCAAACGTTTGCTTCTTCTACTTTTTATAATTTTCTTCGCCATTTGTTAGAGATTTTTAAAATTTTCTCTTTTTTCCGTGAACTTCAAAACAACGTCTTTCCCACTCGTCTCTCCTTTTTTATTTGAAACTATTTCTTGTACTTTACAAATTTCAGAAACTGATTATATCCTGATCGATCAAATATTTATTTTATATTGTCTTGGGGTTGTCTTCCTCCGTTCAAGTGGATAGATGCTTGTGGAACCTGCACAATCCGAGCCTCCTGGCTTCGATTGTCCTACGTTCGGTAAGAACATTTTCATATTTCGGTTCTTGTTAATTAATTTTCATTTTCTTTCTCATAATAACCTTCACAAACATTTTATTCACCGTTTATACTAGCATTTATAGAAAATTGATCAAAGTTTATGCTATTCCCCTCTTACGAACAAATCCAGACAGGACGAGTCTCTTTCTTTCAAACAAACTTCCCTCATCTTTCCTTTTATTTGAACAGCAGCAACATACATTTGCATAAATCAAAAAATCATTATAGAAAATACATGAAAAATCCTATTCGGAACTGAAAATCAGCTTTAGAAGCGGAAAATTTATAAAAATTAGTTTCACAGGGTTCCTGCTGTAACCGATGTTTCAAAGATTTCAGAGGATTTAAGTAGAAGAATCAGTCTTCTTTACAAGTTTTCGAAAGAAAACAACTAATATCCATTCATTATAACTCCACAAACAAATAGATTCTCTGAACTTAAATTACTCTTATTAATGATTTTGTTTCTTCTGCGAGTTGTTGACGATCAATTTTCATCAACAATCAGCTAAGTATCAAGTTGACTTCTGACGACTTTCAAGCAAATGTTTATTGATTTGGAATAGTAAAACACATACATATATTGATTTTTCTTTTTTTGATCAACTCAAATCTCTCTTCGTATCTCTTGTGATCTACATTCAACTACTCTCTGTCAACTTATGAATGTTTGTACGCGGAAAGAACATACCATATTTGGGATATCAGTATTACCTCTTCTTAACCAATCATTTTATCTCTCTTCCTGTATACTTTTCTAACGGATATTCATAAAATAGCCTCTGCTCTACTTATCTTTATTGGAAAATATCATATTTTGGACAGCTGAATGTTCGAACTCATCTTCACGCCTTTCCCTTCTTCAACGTGTCCGTCATTCTTCAGCTTCTTGTCCGTTCTTCTTCTCTCCATTTCTTTCAAATCATCTCATTGATTCATATACTATTTCTTTTAATTTCTTGAAGTTTACGTGGGCTTTTCACTGAAATTCTTTTTCTATATATCTCTTTTACCCACTGTTTCTGTCTTATTTCTGCAAGTTGGCTCGGTGTATACAGATTTTCTGTTTCAAGGCAACTTCTTCAAGCTTAGATCATATTTCCGTTCTTCTCTCTTCCTCTTGCTAGTACCCTGTTAACGTAGTCAGATCGATTTCCTCGATGAATCACAGTTATGAGAGATAATTTCCCTTCCTCTTTTTCGTTTTCTTGATTTTCTCTCTCTGTTTCTTTCTCTCTCTCTCTCTTTTTCTTTATGTATCGTGCTGTCTGCAAATCTTCAAGCCTCTCTTCATCTCAGTAGCACTCTCACCTTTCCAACTTTTTTTAAATTCTAAGAGGGTTTTTCTTTTTTTTTATCTCAATCTCAATATTTGAGTGTTTTTCTTTTTCATAATTTTTTGAAGAGTCGTCCTCATGCCCAACTTTAACACCCTCATCTTTTCAATTTCTTCCCCCCTCTCACTTCGCTTTGATCTTTTCTTGTACTCAACCGGATGATATCAACAGAAGCAAATTTCAAAATATTGACTTTTATCACTCGATTATCATTGTCGTCGACTCATCCAAGAGGATCATCATTTCTGGAAATATTTCTATTAACGGTTGTCGTGTTTTTTAATCTTTCACGACCTTCGTTTACATTGAGCATTAAAAGCAACTGATCCCTTTTGGCTCCAAGTTGTCTTTCACGCAAACATACAGCTTGGAGTAAATCATAAGATGAACAGAAATGGGAAAAATGAAAAATATTTTCTGGGAACTGTTTCCCAAAAAAATATTTGGACTTTGCATCATTCTAATTCTCTTTCGCATTGTCTTCTTCAAGCTTTAACTCTGTTTTTTCTAAAACTTTCCGATAGCCGGAAGAAGTACCGTCAGATATTTATCCAGCACTTCAAACGATTGGCTTTCGTAGTTGAGAAACTACCAGAGACACACACTTTAACGATTCAGAGAAATTCTTCATTTCTTTTTATTTCCTTCAAATTTCATTTATTTTAAGTTCCGCTTAACATCATTGTCTTATTACGGTAATACAGTATGATGTTCCATTAATCTTCCTGCTATCACCTCCAGTTTTCACTTTTGTTTTTCAAAACTGAGTTTATTCAAAAGATTATAAAGTATTTTGAATTTTCGATCGAAGATGAAGTCATTGAGGATAAGTAATGGTTATTTCTCTGTTTTTTAATTCTCTTAAACACACATTTCTTTATATCATTCTGTTACCTCTCCCCCTCCATTCATTTTCATTTCTCTCTCTCTCTCCCTCTCTCTCTCTCTCTCTCTTTTTCTCTCGTTCACTCTCGCTCTCAATAATTCGTTGTTAACTTTAACAATTTCCAATCTTTATCCAGCTGCTGTTCTTCATCCCAAAATAACAATATTCCATATCTATCTGATTTATAGACCATATTTGATTGCCATTCCATTTATAGATCTGTTTGTTCAATTTACTCGGATCATATACGTTTTCCAGAACTCGCGTCAGATTTAGAATCACCACAAACAGACGACGAACTCAACATGGCCTCCGTGACAATCAAAATTGATGAGGAACCGTCCGATAGTGGAGCTTTTCTACATCCTGATAGTCATGTAAATTTCAATTATTTTTTCCAATCAGATTAGGAAATGAATGACAGGTTGCACGAAGAGATTCAACTTCCCGGCGAAGTGTTAGACGCAACCGGGCTTCATCTGCTGTGGCGGAAACGTTGAATGTCCCCGATCAAATGGATGCGATACCTTCTGTAACTAGGGTAAATTTTGAAATTAGCTTTTGTTTATTAACTAATCTGATTAATTATGCACTTTCTTCTTTACTATATCACTAACTTTCCATTTCTAATAACAATTCAGAATATGAGGAAACTGAACAGTCTCGACAACGTCCTAAAGTGGTTTCAAGGTGACTCAAAGGTAAGGGAATACTTCATACGGTAAACTACCCATTTTGCATGTAAAAGAGCACTTTTCTCGATCTTTTCTATTCTTCTTCCACTATTCAATTTAATAAACTAATGAATTTTCAATCATAAGCTTATTCTTCTATTGAATTTGTTTAGAATAGCACTAAGAAATCAAAAGAGCCGAAAGAGTATGAGCCAGGATTACGGTCGTTGATTTATAATTTAAATAAAAAAATGTAAGACAAATGTTAGAGAAGCAGATAAAACTTTTTTCTAGGGAGAAGGAGGAGAAGAACTTGCAGAAACGACAAAAAAAGGAGAAAAGTTAGTTTTTTTTTGTTCTGCTCAGATAGCCATAGGACTATTGCCAAGGGCAACACCATATCTATCATTTTATTTTGAAACATTGGGAACCATAGTTGAGAGGGGTGAAGTTTGAAAAATATTTCTTAAAATGGTTGAAAGAAGTAAAACTTCTCAGTAAAGAAATATGGATGTCTGTGATGTATTGATGGCCAAGGAAACGGAGGGAAGGGGGGGGAGGAGGACGATGTGAAGAAAACTTCCGGAAAGCTTCATTATGATGTTCAGCTTTTTCTTGATTCATAGAAGAAACATTCTGAGCTGTAATTCAACTATCTTCAACTCATCTCTCTTTTCATTTGTGTAATCAAGTAATATTTTGTCTTTTTCTACATTCTACTTGGGTTCTTACTGCTGTGACCAAACTGGAGAGAGAAAGAGACAGAAACATATTTTATCGTTTGATACTTTCTAGAAGAGTATAGCTTTGCTACTTCGCTTGAAACTCTTTACCCTAGTTTTCACTCGAATTGACCACTCGCATAGTTAAGTTTCGCGTTTTCATAATTAGTTAAGTTGCTTCGACGGGACTCATTCAATTTACTAAATGACTTACGTAGTACTCATAATTCTCTTTATTTTTTAATAGTTTCCCTGCATTTACCGATTGTCTTTGAATCGAATAGTTGAAAAGATAGCTTTTCATTTTGTGTTGTTGTGTAAGACGTAGAAAGAGTTTCTTTTTTGAAAGAAAAAGTAGTCTTCTTCTAACTTTTTGGAAAATTAGCGTTAATTTCATTATAATGCATTGGCTAATTAAAAACAGAAACGTCTTCGTTGAAATTTGCTTGTTTGAGAGAACAAATGCGAAGTCATGTCCGATGAGCTCAAGGACGTAGTAACTTTATGTGCTTCTATTTAGAACAGCCTTAGGGAATATGAGAGATAAGGCAATAGCTGTTAATGGTTCATATATTTCATTTAGATAATTAGATGAGAAGCATGAAATTATCAACCAGGTATGCTGCTTCTGATGTTTAGCGCATTAGGTTAGAGTCAGCACTAAATTTCTTTAATACTAATGAGAGGTTTAAGTGACAAAATAAATGGTAAACATACAGATTGTCTCTACGTCTCCTTCTTTTTTAGTGAGAGAATAGTAGACTTCGTTTGTTTCCCCTTGAGGCATTTCGTTTGCGTCATAGTCCTTTTACATCTCATGTCTTCGTCCTTCCCATATTTTATCATGATCGTTTAAAAGAAAGCCAGAAGACATTAAGTTTTCTTTACCATTTATACTTCTTTTTCGTCTTCCTCATTTGTTCCTCAATTTTTGGAATTTATATAAGGAAAACAATAACAATAGCTCGAACAACAAGTCTTCAGCATCAGACGATATGCTATGACTAAATATTTTTTCATAGTTTACCTTAAGATATTTACGTCCTACAGGTTGGTCGTCTTCTTAAAATATCTGTTTGGAGAGTAATTTGCATAATTTCGTTTTTTGACGCATGAATCGTGGCACTCCATCACGTGTCTTACGTTAATATTACAAGGGCTCAGAGCTTATTCACTGTTTGTTGGACGCGCAGTTCGGTTGTTGCACTTTGACTCTCTTTTCATTTTTATTTTTATTATTTCGTTTTTGCTCCCGCTATTTCATATGCTGTGAAACATTTTTTTGATAATGTTCCAATTACTTCTGGCTCATTTGAGCATTTAAGTATGGCATTCTGGAATGAATTTCAGAAACTCCCTTTCATTCCTTATCTCCTATCGGAATCTTTACGTCATAGATGGAGATTTATGTGCATAAAGCAGGAGGAAGTCATCTAAATAACGAGCTTTCAAAAAAAGACTAACTGTGGTAACTGTTCAGTCGAGAGCCATAGAGCTAAAGTAATAACCTCAATATGAGGTACATTTGAATATTGGAAGTTCAAAATTCGACTTAAAAGGCTAGCAAATGTGTAATAAAAGCATTAGCCTTCACTCCTTTCTGGTCTGTACTGACCCCCCTCATCTTTCACTCTTTTCTCCGTGTGCAGTCGGTTGTCATTTTTTCAAACAATTTTTCTTTTTCACTTGTCCCTCTCTTTCAACTTTCGAATTAAGATAATGAATTTTCATATTTTTTCTATTTGAGAGAAGAGATCTTTCCTTGCGGTTGAGGTTTCTTAGAGAAGAAGACGAGAAAATACTTTTTTCTTCCTATTCCATGTCACAAAAAGTTTATTTTCTTCTTTTCGTCCTAGTGTTTGAATGACAAGTTGGATTGTAAGAGCATGGAGACTGTTCGTATAAATTCGCAGCTCCTAACGTTGCTCCTTATTTGGCATGAATTTAATTTATAAAAAGACTATTTATTGTCTGAGGTTACTGACATGTTAAATGTTGCTTGAATTCATGAATATTCTAGTATTTCATCTGTGATTCTGTCCTCAAAGCACTATATTGTCTACCTTTCTATTCATTTCTAATTTTTTGTTTCTGTTTTTGAATCTTTATTTTTCATATATCATATGATATAAAAGATTCACATCATAGTCTTAACGACTTTGATGTTTTTTGATTGGCATTCACAAAAAATGAATCTTGAGAATGTGTTGTATGTTGTCAAGTAGTACGTGAGCTTCAAGCTTTTGGTCCTTGCAATTGAACTTTTCGATCTTTTTTGAGATTACAAGAGTTACTTATGTATGCAAATTCTTCGTTAGGTTTCTCTTCCGTTCTGAAGAATTAACATACTTTCTCTTTCCGTTTCTCATCCGAAAGACCACCTAGAAGGGCAGGCTGTAGTCCTTCCATGAGAGGATATTTTCCTTTCGAACGACACCTCTTCGCTCTATAATCTCTGTTTTATTTCCTTTTTATGTTTTTTCTTTTTACTTCTAAATGTTTATCAAAAAAACAAACTACTAAAAATCGACTGTGGATTAGTTGAAGAGCTAAGAGTTTCGGCATTTCGTTTTCTTGTCCTCTGAGATGCTTTCTTCTGAACTTTTTTCTCTCGGTTAGTAAACTGCTTCTTGGTCTGAGATGATTTTATTATTCAAAATACTTGTTCTTTCGAACGATCACTTCAACTCCTTGGCTTTATTTTATGTCTCAGCATGGCAGAGTTAGAGCATGTGAGTTTAGCACTTCCTCGTACAAATCGTTTCATTCCTATCTTACGGCATATCTCGTTTTATTTCTACTCATTCTCACTTGTATTACTCTGTGAATTTCTTGACTTCATGTCAATCTGTATGATATGCGTCGTTCCAGAAGTTAATCTATATGTCCTTGGACATACCCGAGGATAGTCCGGCTAGATCCAATCCTGATGATAGAGTTTCTGCTTTGAAAGCTAACAGTGACCACGATGTCTACGATTGTCAAACACCATCTGAATCATCTAACAACTTTCATCTGGATCTACGATCTAGAGTACTGCGCGGCTTATCAGAACCGTTCTATCGCAACTCTGTGCGAAGCGTTTTACCAAAAATTTTGCGTGAAAAGCGGAGCATCACCAGCAGTCCGGGCGGCAAGAAGATCCGTTGCAGCAACACAATGCAGAACATTAATCAAGTATGAATGTCGTTTCTGGTCGTCTATCAGCTTAGGTCTTTTCCTCTTTCTTCACCATCTCCATGGCTCTATTGGCTTGGAATTTGAGTGACAAAAAGTCTTCCAAAAGGCCAAAAGAGGAATAACACGGGCTTTATGAAGATGGCGAAGAGAGTGGAGTTAAAAGACAATGAGTAAGAGCATAGTTTGTGGGCTTTCGTGTTCTATCGTTGGAAACTCTATGATCTTGTTGATTTTTTCGCAAATTTACAAAGATCTAGAATGATTAGTTGTGATTGTAATTATTGACAGAAGCGAATCTATTCAATTCAAACTGAGTAAAGTGATGTTGCAGGCTATCAATCGCCTTTCATCCGACTACTCGGTGAAAATCACGAAAGCTTCTTTCTCTCATTGTAGTAGTGGATGCATGTAAATAGTTGGCTTCAAGATGATTCATATCGTTGCTTATCCTCATCTCCAACCAACATTATAATTTTATTTCTTTTTTCGGTGCATGTGTGCTGTCTTTCTCTGTGTTGGTTGGGATGAGTGCTATGTTTCACATGTGGAGAAACACAAAATTTATTTTTCCTTTTCCCTTTTGGCCAAAATAGGAATATGTTTACAGACGACGTGCACGGCGTCTCATCTGACCCAGTTGCACGTGGATTCACCAAAATCAAGTACGATGCGTAAAAGCTTCTCCGATTTCATGCTAGGAAGTAAGTCGTTTGAACAGAAATTCATATAGAATCTGAGGTCTATGTACGTAGATACGGGGTTACGCAAGGGATTATGGATGTTTGAAAATACTTGTTGTATGTAGAAAAAGGTTGCTGATTGCTAAAGTTGATCTTCATTGCGAAGCAGCGCATCATCTTATATAATATACCCTTTAAACGATAGCGATAACTACTGAAAAGCGCCATTTGCTCTGATTTTGATTGGAAGTCAATTATGGTTGACAAATTTTGCCAAATAAGGGTAACACATGCAGAATGACATTCAGATAATCTAATATGATTGTCTGCAGTCATCTCTTCCTCTATCAATTTCTATCCGTTTCAACTTGTTCCCATATGGATAAATGAGCAAAAAATGTTTTTCTAAACTTGGACTTCATTGCATTTCTTACTTGATTTTTATTTCTCTCAAATTTCTTCAAATAGATCCACTAAGCAATCTGGGTGGTTGTGAAGAATTGAAAGCTCTGGTGTCCTGGAGCCATTGCCGTCTTTTTGCCACTATCGTCTTCCTTTTTTCACCATATCTGAAAAGAAGAGAAGCAGTTCTTTACATTTTCGTATTCTAACGAAATCTGAGGCGGAATTTACTGATCTAAGCAGAGTAGCCAATCGACGACCACATAGGTAGTTGAACAGCTTGGTCTTGTTATACTTGAATATTCCTGAGACGATTCTTAACCTCAGTTACTGCTTATCTGGAACTCATTGATGACATTCATCAGTTAGAACTCCGTCATTGTATAATTGGAAATCGAGAACAGCTTATCACTGTTCCTACTTCTATTGACTTAACACTATTCAGCTATAATCTTTTCCTAGTTTCGCTACAAGAAACAACGCGAAAATTGGTGGAAAAACATTTTTTTCACTAGCGGAAACTCATTATTCGTCTGCAAACGCCATCGTGCTTCTCTCCACAGTTTTACTTTCTTATTCAATAATTATGATGTATTTCTCGAAAAGTAAGTTTCTTGGAATTTTTATTTTTGTTTACTTGATGGTTACGAGCTTCATGTTGTGTCCCAAAGCCGCGGCTGGCTAAACGACCTCTACTTTACCTTTTCTTATTTCATTTTCTCTGACGAAGACACTCTCCATCCCTCAAGATGAAACATACACCTGTCAGAAACATTTATTTGGATTTTGGATTTTTTTGAAGCACAAGTCACCGAAAGTAATATGTCTTTCAAACTTGTCGCAAAACCATCTTCCATCTCTTCTCTTCTTAGGTTCCGTGTTTCAAACAACGTAATGATATGATAATCTTAACAAGAAGAAATGGGATATCTTTACTTCTCTCTCATTCAGCATAAGAAGTTTCTAACATTTTCAAACAAATCCATCTTTAAACTCGAGTTTTACTTGCATAACACCTCCTTCCTTTTTCGAATTTTTTTCTGACGCAGTTGGGGGAAATGAATACACTTTTCCTTTATTTCTAAAGCTATTTCCGGTCTCATAGTTGAATGTTTTAAATTTTTTTGAAAAACCTCATGACATCGATGAATTCATTGTGAGATTTCGTTTTGCTTGAAATCGTAGACAAGCATTAGCATAACCATGTTTTCACGTAAACTGCTCTTGCGGTTGCGTGAAGTTATCTGTCGCTTTTCATTGTTTTCATCTAGGCAGCTAGCGAACGGTTGTGTTTCTCTTACAATAAGCTGTCTCAGTTTCGAACAAATTTTTCGTTCAATACATTGCTGCTTTGAGCAAGTTTTTTTTTTATAAAAACTCACAAAAATTAGAGCATTTTGTTGCTTTTTCGGGTTTTCACAACAACAAAACCAAAAATGAATCATTCATACAAAGTTGTTTTCCCTAATAAGGTGCTCAGAAAATAGTTTTTTACAAATAATTTCATGAAATTCCTCCAAAGTTTTTTTGTGTTCAATAAAAAAGTTTTGAAAGAAAAATGAAATTGTTTAACAAAGGGTATTTCAAGGATAACAAGAGGTCTGAAGCTTCTTCCAACTTTCATTGGCGTACAAGAGGTGAAGCAAGAGAAAGAGATTCAACTCTATTTCTCAAACTTCAAGTACACTTTTATTCTTATTCATTCACTAAGCTGTTACTCTAAGCTTCTCGTCTCTCCTCTGTTTTTGAACAGTTTTCAAGTTGTTTGATATTACAAATCTTTCTGTTTATTTCGATTGAATATTTTTTTCGTATGAAATGAGATGAAACAAAAGCTAAGAGTTTAAGTTGCAATGTTCATGCTGCCCAGCCAGAACATTAGCCAGTTTCTTTAACTTCTCCTGGATTTTCCGGATTTTGTTCTTTTTTTTTTAAATGAAATGTCTGGAATGAGAAAGACTCGAAGAAATTCAAATTGTCCTTTCATTTTCGATTCATTTTTGTCTAAAAAAGGAGTGAACAAGTAGAAAAAGCTTGTCTGCCATTTCACATTTCGCGTGTTGGCCATCACTTTACTGTCTAAGCTCTCCAGATTCACCTTACTCTATCTATCATATTGTACGTTAGCTTGGAAAATATCCATTTTTGTTCAGATCAAATTGTTTTTCATCAAACAATGTCTTTTTGAACTATTCTATGAAATACATTTCGACGAATCTTTTTTTCAAGCAGAAAAAAATATTTTTTTCGATTTTCCAACAATTATCACATGCAAGATCAATCAGCAACAAGGCTTATTTTGAAAATAAAAAATAAATAAACAAACCCACAGAGTTTTCCATCTAGTGAAACATCATCCTTTTTGAATTGAAAACTATTCCTCCTAATCTGATCTCTTTTTGCTATTCTCTCTTTCTGTTTGACCTTTGTGCTTCTTCCCATATCTCTAGTGATCATTCAGATTCGGAAACGAAGCTAAGGTCTATGACATAACCTTATAGTTGAGAGGTTATTATCAACATTTTCATAGGGAACTTTCCTATTTTCGATGTTCTCAATGACATTTCACATAATAAAATGTAATTTTTTCATAATTTACTCATTCTCTTCCTCTTCCTTTTCCTCTCACTCTCTCTTTTTTTCTTTTAAAACAACGAAAAGCCATCGGATAGTGCTCATGCCATATTCTTCAATTTCCTCAAATAGGCAATAGAACTGAAAAGATCGTGTTTCAGTACGGAATTCATACAAGCTGTCTGACTCAGATAATTTTTCTCACGAGAAATTTTTCTTTTTTTTTCTGAATTTTCTTGAGAGGGATTCTGATCAGGATATCTCTCGTTATTCTCATTTCATGTCATTATTTTTCATTCAATATCCTTATGTTGCAAAGTAATTTTGTGGATTTTCGGATTAACAGTGATTCCAACGGGAAGACGAGGAAAGGATACAGATGAAGGCTATACTCACGTCTTATAATTCATTTAAAGACAAAAGCTTCATATTTGAACGCTTACCAGACATGACAACGTCTGTCAATCCAACGAACTTCTATTTCAAATCCAGCGAGCATAGTAAGTTGAAATAATTCAACGTATACGGTAATGCAAAAATATCACAAACCGACAATGTTGTTCATTGTTAATTGAACGCTGCAAGTTTTTTCATATTTGGAAGGTTTTTATTATTAATCCGAACAGCTCTATCGCAGTTCGCGCTGATGTAAGCTCTTCTCTTCCCTCTCTCTCTCTCTCTCTCTCTCTCTCTCCCTCTCTCTCTCTCTCTCTCTCCTTTTCTCATTTTTTCTTTTCAATACTCAGATTTTCATTTTTTCCCCCAAAGATTTTAAAACTTTTCTTCGATCTTTCAACTTAATATCTCCGTTCTCACAGCTATTTTCCAATGATTCAGTCATCGCCGAGACCTCTTTTGTGCGAAATTCTTGGTTAAATTGGAAGATTAATGTTCAATCAATTAGTTGTTTCATCAAGCTGCTTTTATTAATTGTTTGAAACAAAAATATTAAACAAAACGTATTTTATAAAAACATTTTAAATTATGTTAGATTGATAACTTTACTTTAAAATATAGATGATTACCTTGTGAGAGATATTGAGAGAAACAGAGTCTTGTTTATGACCTGTTTTGCATTAAACAGTTAAAGTTGATCAGAGATGAAAACTAACAGATGAGAATGAGTGTGAAGACGAGAATTCTCAAATTCTTCTTCAAATGTCACGTTTTTACTACTTCACACCCTCTTCACCTTACTTCTTCCTTTCTTCAAGAGTCTCTAGCCTAGCTGTCGAACTTTTGAGGTGTGGAAAAGCTTTTTTTTTGTTTTGCCGTCACCTTCGGAAGTTCATGAGGCTGAGTGAGAAAAAGGATAGAAAGATAACAAAAAATGATGAATATTATAAACTTTACAACCTGTAAAAGATCACATTGTTCTCTTTGAAATGTGGAAGAACAATGTGTGATAGTGGTCAACGATGACAGATATCTTTTAGAAACTGAATGAAGCTGAGATGAAAAGCCAAGGTGCGGTAAAATAATGACTGCTCAGCCTACTCCTACTCATGAGAACAAATCCTTCTCTTCCGTTTTCTCTTACTCTCTCTATTAGGTGCAAGACTTATCTGTTCTCCTCTGTTCTATAGATAATTTTACCTTGTTTTCTGAACCATCAACTAGACAAGGAGAGAGAAAAGGTGATTACGAGATTACTAGAAGAAGTTAGACAGAGAGAGACAGAGTAAGAGAAGAAGTTTGTCAGCGCCTGTGTTTCCGTTGTTATTTATCCGTTCATTTGAGAGTTCTCGTTATCTTTTCCTTTATTCTTAAGCTCAAATGCATAACCACTGATTGGGTGTAACAGAGAGATGCAGAAAACTGGTAAGAGATAAAGAAATGAAAGAAAAGAAGAGAAATTACTTCTGATGAACTGAGGAAATGCAGAAGACGGCAATCCTTTGAGAAGATCATTCATAGAGAGATAGATAGACGAACAGACAGCAGCTGTACCACTACCCACAACCACACCAACTTTCCTATTGATCCGATCACTCAACCCACGCCTCATCATTGCCGTTAGGCTCAAATCTCTGACTCTCTCTGCGTTTTTTATTATCTTGAAGTATCTCTGCATCACTAATTCTCTGAGTATGTTAACGACGAACTTCATCTCTGCTTAGCCATCTTACCCTCCTGTTCAACACCCACAGCATCAGGCAGTGCTCTCACAATCTCGGACAACTAGCTAAAACTTCTTTTGATTGATTTTTATTTCTCATTTTTCTAGTTTATTCCTTAAGCGATCTCATTTTTTTGGCGGTTTTTTGGGTTTACCGTAATCGATTAGTAAGATTACAGTAACCCGAACTGTATCGTCCCCTACTCTCTTTCTTTTTCCTTTGATATTGATTAAATTCCTGTTTACTCTTAGTAATTCTCATTGTTTTATTGAGTTTCTATTTCTAGAAATTACTTCAAAAATATCTTCTTGTGCTTTATTCGACTGTTCGTGACCATCCCGGTCATCCTGATATCAACTTCCATGTTTGGTGTATCCTCAACTTGATAGTTTCGGATAATATTCTTTTTCTCTTCTTCGACTTTTTGATAAAAAGTGAGGGAAGAAGAATCAAAGAATTGTCGAACAAAGGTGTCAAGAAAGAGTAGAGACCATTAGTAATCACATGAACTATCTGGCGGTCCCGGAATCGCCGGGACCACGTCGGCGCGATATCGATGTTGCTGGGATGTGGAATGATTTACGAAAGAAAAGTATCAGCGAGCTGAGTCTTGTTATGGATGTTCTTCGGGGAGGTGGAAGTCCTAATGGTAGCCAATACATACATCCAGAACGCGAACGCGTAATTGCCAGTACAGGCAATTTGGGAAAATCCGGAAAACGTAGAAGAAACGTTCGACTTACGTGGATGGCAATGACGCCAGGCAATTTCTCAAGACAATTTACAATTGGTAAGAAAATTTATGATGTTAAATTGTCATCGGAGAATATGGTGGAATTGCTAAATGTTGCGAGATTAAGCTTGAATTATGTTGGGTGACTGAGATTTCAATTTCATCCAATCTTCCTGCTTGCGTCCTATTTCACATCTTCTCCTCCATGCCCTTAAAATCTGCTATTTTGTATATTATATTTCTTTGTTTTTCGGCTAAACGCTTTGGAAAAATTTGTTGGAAAGCAGAAGCTTATCCACATCTGGTTAACGTATGACGTCTATTCGTCATCATCATTTCCTCACTGTCTCCCAAAGATGATGATTTAAATTATTATTTGACTGGTGGAAAGCCATCCTTTTGGAATCTGTCAAAGACTCCATCTCATTCTTGCCGTGTTTGATCTCTCCTCCCTAACGTTCAGAAATGACCAGAAAGGAAGTTAAACAACGAGGTGTTTTTTCAAATATTCTTTCTTTTCTCTTCTATTCTGATAAATTGTTCAAACAATTTGAATGTGAAGTGAACAAATAAAGTGTGGGATGTTAACAGTTCTTGAATTAGATCTGATCATCTAAATCCACAAAAATATTGTCAATAAGACCATTTAATCATCTTGCAATCGTTGCCGTCTACGCTTCTTCTCCCATCTAGCTACATGTATAACTTGCATGGTAAAGCTTATAAACCGTTCCAAATGCTGAGATAGATAAGCTCAACCATACTATCTATAACCTAACGGACTCAGGGAATTTAAAACAAAATACTTTCTTTTTTCTGATATAATTTTTTTTCTTTCAGTTCAAGAGGAAAAGGCTATGCAGTCAGTTCCATCAATGCCGTTAGATGCTAGCAAGTTCGTAGCTTATGTTCAAGAAAGACGAAAGAAGCGAATATTATTTAAAGGAGAATACCTGGTTCGTTTACTATTTCATCCAAATAGAACGTTGTTATGCCTCAAGGAATGCATTCAATCCGTCTCGTGATACCTCGAGATCTAGTTGAGTAATGACATTCGCTATTTCCTACCTTTAAATCAATGAGTTTATGTTTCTAACACTATCACATCTTCGCACTATTTATTTCATTCAAAAATATTTTTTACGCTTTAAATATAATTAATTTCCAACCATACTGACCACAAACTTCTTTGACCTCCTCTCACCTCCCATCATGTGCCCTTTCGTTCGTTCGATAACTTTACATTAATTTTTCGCAACATATCCTCAGATAATAAGTTTTCTGTCAGCTTTTTTGACAGTTTCCGTCTTGCTGACAGAAGGTCATGAGTTGTCCACCAATAACTTCTCTCTATCCCCTTCGCAGTTCCTGGAACTGACCAAGCTCATCTCATATGAATGATTTGCATGATAGGAACCTCTTAATAAGGATGAGCAAACTACATCTTCACAAAAAAAAAACTTGAACTTCAAACTATATGTAAAATAATTCTTTAAGATGATTAACCGATCAATTGACATAAACAAGTGTCGATGTGACGTAGGAAGCACGATGGGTGACAGAAATCCATATCCCGTGAGTTTTGAATGATTTTGTTTGAACAAAAAATAATTTCTCTTTGTATGATGAGAGAAATGAGTCTGATTTCAAAGAGATCAAATCTGAATCTTGCAGGATACGTTGCCATATGATCATAACAGAGTTATCTTACCCACATTACCTGGCGATGAGAATTCGCATTATGTCAATGCCAGCTATGTAAATGTATGTTTCATATAATGATCTCTTTCAATCAATCACAAGTATTACAGAGCTGGCTAAGGGAAAAAGCATATGTTGTAACTCAGGCTGTTCGTACGAAACCCATGAACGTCGAATTCTGGCGAATGGTATGGGAATTAGGAAGTAACTGTATCGTCATGTTAACGAAAGTTTTTGATTTCATGAGAGTAAGTTTATATACATTTTATATTGAATATATCAAACATAATGACAAAGAAACTTTCACTTTGAGCGAATGTTAAAGAGTCAAATCACCTGTTTATCTCAAATTTTGCTTGGATCACATTTCGTTCTCTCTCTATACCTTCTCATCTTCTTACTTTCTTTATCTTTCTTGCAAGTTTTAATGAGATGAAGGTTAGGAAAGATTAAAAATCTTCTAAAATGAAGTATGAGTCTATTAGATGTTAAGCCAAGGTAATTGGCACATTCTGACAATTCTCAAATAAATACTCGAACCAAGTGATAAACTCTCTTCTGTTTATTTTGAAAAAATATTTGAGAACGTCTATTTCGAATTTCTTAATGACTTCTCATTCGTGTTTGTTGCCGAAAAACCTCCAGATGTTTCTTCAACTCTTTTTTCGATTCAAAAAAAATCACAAAAAATGTTCGATGTGGGGTTACAAGATAGCATGATGTGCAGTTTGAGTGATGTATGTGTTGCAAAATTGATATTGAGAAGAAACAGAGATGTTCACTGACATATGAACTGCACACGTTATGATGTAGTTTGATAACTGGTTTACTTGCAGGTCATGTGTCTTCAATATTGGCCACTCACTAGGTTTACATTTGGAGATATCGAAGTAGAAACAATTGATGTTAAGACTTATGCTCATTATGTAAGTTATTATTTCAATTTTTGATTATAACAGAGGTTACTGTAGGTGATTCGAACATTCCAATTAACTCGTAATGGAGAGAAACGTTTAGTAAAGCATTTTCATTTCACTGAATGGGAGTTAGACTCTTTCCCTTACATCTCTGCTTTCATTGAATTAAGAAGGTATGTCATCAGAATGAATTTATTAATAATGGCTCTGACATATGTATATATCAATTATTAAATTTATTTTAGAAGAGTTCGACAATATGTTGAAAAGAATAATGTGGATGCTCCCATCATTGTACATTGCAGGTATGTTTCATATCTTATAACCCGTTGAATTAAAAAATAGAATGAAGAACAACATATTGTGAGAGAAGTGTTGATTTGATTAATTGATCTGCTTAGCCCATATTATGGGTTTTACAATTTTCAAGCTTGAAGTCATCACATTGTAATCGAGCACATGATTTTGGATAAGCTTTTGACGGCAACATATTTTTTGATTTTGCGAAGTCACGTATCCAATACTCCACCTGAATGAGAGAAAGAGATTAATTGAGCTTAGGAGGATAAGAAAAAGAGAGAGAAAAATGTTTAAAAAAATAAAAAAACCTGTAAGCGTGTAAATTCGAGAAGAAACTCGGAAGCTTCTGTTCCTTCCTCTTTTCCACATACATGTTTCAATATGAAAGAAATGCATGTATGATCGCACAGAAGTTGACGGCATCTGAATTGATTAGCATCGGTTTGATAATCCTTGTCAGCCATATTGTAAGTGAGTTCGCAAGAAAAACCTTGTTGCGTATCCTTGAACGGATGTCTTCAAAGGTGTATAGTTACCACACCGTGGACGACAGTGACGAATAAGAATTGGAGCAGCTTTAGAGTAGCATGATTGGTGATCTAACATCTGGAAAAGATAGAAATGGTTGAAATGTAATGCATAGATGCATGTATGTTTGTAAATGTATGTTGATGAAGTTAAAGAGAATTATGAAAGTCTTGGTCAAGATGGAAACCTCATTGAACCGATGGCGACAAACATATTCTCGGAGGTTAAACTGGACGGAATAGCCGCATTCATCTATAGCATACGATATAAAACAGTCATCTTGAAAATCTTACCTATGCACTGACTGTGCTGTTTATCCAGATGACAGAACAAGTCCAAATCTCTAGGAGCGACCACAGAAGGTACATCAATGCTTCCGAAAGCCATATGAGCCTGCAATCATGTTTTGTTCGTTTTCAAAATGCTTCATGAACCGTACATTGACCATATCCATCCCAATATTGAGTCGATTATTACATTTCTCTAAGCATTTTGAATCGCTCATGACATCGTCACGTCGGAAAGACTTATCGACTAGAAAGTTACAAAGTAAGAAAGGAATTAACACAAAGTGCAGACCTCTCTTTTTGGATGAATCTTTCCCTTCCTCTTCTTCATCTTCGTACTCTTTTTGTAATCGAGCTAGTGTGAAGGCAGATGGCACTCTTCGTTTCGTTAATAATCTACCTTCAATTTCATTTTATTAATAAACTGTGGATGAAGAGTTGAAATTACTTTCCTGAATTCGGCAATTACCTAAGGCTATTCCTCCTAAGACTATGAAAAGAAAAAAATAATTCATTTTTCTGCAAATAGAATGGTACGTTAACGTTTGTGAACACCTCAAACAAGATGGAAAATGAGAAAAATTTTAATAATTTCGAATGAAAAACGACCAAGTTCGTGACCTTGTAAATCTTCTCTTCAATTCTATTGAAACATGCAAACTACAAATGTTTTTTGTGTGCTTTTAAGAGGATTTTATTTTTAGAATTTGTTTTTGAGGTTTTTTTTTCTGTCATTTTGCGCAGGCAAATTTCTTAATGAAACCAATTGAGTGTTTTGAAGTACTCGGTAGAAGAAATAAAAAATCTGAGAAGATGAAAGTTGCAATAGGCATTAACATCAAGATGAAGTTCATTCAAATAGGTGTTGGACATTAGTTTATAAGATGAAGAAGCCTTAGAATCGTTTGCGAACATCGCCGCTTCGATGGAAAACGATATTCTTGACGTCCTTCTTCCATCTGGATCCACACTCTTGACCTCCAGTCGAAGAAAAATAATAGAAACATATGTGAGGGGAAAAAGTTTTTGACAGCAAAAGGTGTTAAAATGAGAAATATGAAGGATAATTGAACCTTATATAGAAGTTTGAATTATCTATTTCCAATCAGGGCACAACTGAGTTTTCTATCGAAACTTGACAACTTTGAACAGCCAGTTTTGAGATACATTCAATAGTAATAAACTGATTTTTGAATTTTTGATTGAAAAAGTTGATAAATGAAGCTTTTACGTTTTAAAAAATATTTTTTCTTAATTTTCGGGAAAAAAGAAAAATTGTTGTAAAACAGGTAATTGGTGCTTAACCACTTAGAAGTTTCATGATGGGAGGAAAGAGAGAGAGATAGTTAAGGAGAAACAGAGAGAGAGTAGATGGAAAACAGCGATAGAAGACAGTTCAAAACAATAAAATAACATTGTCGAATACTTGGCCTGATGATGAGGAAAATATTTTTTTTGTTGAAATTATTCAGAATCACATTTCGGTCAATGGCATGTCTCTCTTTCCATTTCGCTGTAGAATGAAAGTACAGATGGATTTCGGAGTTACATCTAGTCCAATATCTACTTTATCGTCTTCGCTCATCTCTTTCAATGGGTGAATTGTCAAAAAACGCTTGAAATTTTTTCTTTTTATTTCCCCCAAAAAGAAAAGATTTATAAAGGTGTTGGCGGAAAAAAATTATTTGAGAATAGAAGACGATTAGGATTTTCGAAACAACCGGTCAATGCGCTCCAACTGTTAAGAATGAAAATGATAAATAACGTGAAAACGTGGAGTTCCGATATGCAAATGAGGTAGTGAAAGAAATGAGAACAGGATTGTGATGGTTGTTAAATTACAAATAAACTTTAAGTATCTCTCAAGCATGTCAGAGAACTATTCTCATTTTAACTTTTTTTGTTTTCCTTATATGGCGAACGACAACTTACATGTGAGAGAGGAATGACTTGTTGCAATTATACAAATGATTCTATTTGGTTGATGTGCCATGTTACAGCAATGGAGCTGGACGAAGTGGAGCATTCCTTGCTTTAGATGCGAATTTGGAATTAATGAAGAAGACGGGACAGTTGGATGTATATGAATATGCTAAAACACTTGTTAATGCCCGTCCACATCTAATTGATAGTGTAGATCAATACCAATTCATTTATGATGCTCTAGCTGAGGTTTGTCGGATTTTCGATTTTTAACAAGAAAAAAGTTAAATTTTAAGGCTGTCATGTGTAATGTACAACCAATCCAAATGCATCAATTGAAAGAGAGAAGTAGCATGTACAAAGCCAAGAAGAATAGAGAATTACTGGAAAATCAAGAAAATCATGAAAATAAGGTGAGTACATCCACGAAATGGTTTTGAACTCTTTATCTTATCAACCGAGAGGAAATATCTCGAATACCTATGAGAAGTGAGAGAGGGGAGGGGAGGGGAAGGATATAAGGAAACCCTAAAATAAGTTTCCTATTCCAAATAAAAGTTATTTTATGGGCCGACCAGTGTATAAAAAGAATAAATGAATGTTAGCATCAAATTCCTTTTGTGGTTTAGCCTTAAGGCGCTTCGGAGGAAAGACGATATTAAGGAGAGCGATGCTTATCTTGTAAACTTTCATTACCTTTCACTACTCGTCCTCAATTCTCTCACTTTCGTCATTTGACTTATTGACTTTGGTGAAATTCAGAAAGAAAAAATGACTTCGATCAGTTTTTTTTCTGATTTTTGTCTGATTACGTGAATGTGAAGAACAACAGATTAGATGAACTTGTGATTTAATGAAGAAAGAGAGTAAGAGAGGAGGAGGTTGAAGAGAGATAGGGGGGATAGTGAATGAGAAATATAAAAACATTTGTGCGAAAAGAGGTAAAAAATCTCTTTTTCTCGTAAAGATTCCAGATGCACTCGAAGTTCATGTCAGTTTTGTCCTTCTTTCGAATATTTTCATTTCCAAACTAGCACACCAGTCAAATCATCTGATTTTTAGAGTTTAAGAATGAGATTTTAAGAAAGAACTGTCGTTGCTTTGAGATTCAAAAACATTTGTAGTTTATAATTGTGATTACGATTGAACAGCTGCTCAAACACAAACAATTGAAAAAAAAGAGAGCTGAATGAAAGAATGACAGCTCGTTTGACTTTAAAAGGAAGTATCCTACCACTCTCATCCCGTAGGACATGTATTTGATTGTCAAAGTAACATAATGTTTTTTTACCTGTTTTAACGATGTTGTGTGAGTATTCAACATCAAACTGACATCATTAGGGTCAATTTTACACAGAGAGCGAGTGGGTGTCAAGAGATGCCTTTTGGTTTTTTTTTGTAAAAGTAAGAAGTAAACAATGACGAAGAGAACGAAAACATGGGTAAAACTTTTAATTGCAGCTTTTACTTCATTTGACTCCCTCTCTCCGTATTGGAGATTGTGCAGGAGGACATCGTTTAGAAAATAGAGGAAAGAATCGAGATGTAATGGTCGTACCACGTATGTTTTCAACAGTATTTTTTGAATATTATTCTCAAATATTCAGCGGACCATGCAAGACCATATTTGCAAACATTACATGGTGATAGTAAAGACTATACTTACATTAATGCAGTTGAAGTGAGTTACCAACTTCTTTGAATGAAAAATTTCTCAAAAAAACTGGAAAATGATGGACCTCACAGCACCCATTCACATATGTAAAACATGACGAAAAAGGACATTAAAGGACAGCTTTTGCCTTTCTCTTCCGGTTTTCCGTTTTTTTAGCTTTTTTTTGAGAAATAACCCATAAAGGGCGAAACAAATCGAAATGTCGAGCAGCTTCCAAGTATTCTCTTGATTTGATTTGAAAAGTTGAAATCTCAGAAATGTGAAAATCTTTTCTATTTGATACTCCAATGCTTAAGGTGGATGGATTCACGAGGAAAGCAGAGTTCATCGTGACAGAATGGCCAAAATCTAGTACTATTGACTCATTTTGGACATTAATATACGACCATTCATGTCATACGGTCGTCAATTTGAGTAATCAAGGTTCTCCTAGGGTATGCGCTATAATTACAATAGTGCTTTATGATGACACATTATTTGCAGCAATATCCAACGTTCATTCATAATAAAGGAAAAGCTCAATATGGTCCTTTCATAGTCGAAGTTATCAATTATCATCAATATCCTGCCATGACATCACATATGGTTAAAGTAATGAAAAGGGTTCGTTCTTACTTCAACAGAAAAGTATTTCTTCTAATGAGGTTCAAGCTTTTTTCAACCAATGCCTTGTTGCTTTATGTGTTGAAGTTCGGAGTTTTCATTCAAATTGTTTTTTTTTCTCTCAATTCACGAAATCCCCTAATGTCTTTGCTCCGCAATTTTTTTCTGACCAAAACTAAATCTAGATGAATTCACCTACTCGTGGAGCAAACCCAAAAGCCAAAGTACCAACTTTGGAAGGACACCCGAGTTATCAAAAACCTGCTGCCAGTACACTACCACCTGGGCAATCTTTTCGTTTTAAACCTCAGTATCGGGGCAAAATAAGACCATCTGATTCATTGGAACAGGATTTGGATTCCACTGCTGTAGATGATCGTTGGCTCCGTTTACCAGTTCAGCCACGACGACGTCGAACGCGATCCGCTGAGCCAATGATACATCAGACGAATGAGCCATTTCATGAGGTTCTTATGAATCCTATCTCTCTTCCCTTCCTGTCCCATTCGATCCTCGAGAACCACCTGTTGTCCATGTTATTCATTGGTGATTAAATGTTGAGGAAGAAGAACAGAAGTTGAACAACTTTTGTTTTCTCCAATCTATCTCAACGTCTTATTGTCTTCTTGAAATCATTTTGAAAATGTGCAAAAGTCTCAATGTCCATCAAGTATTGTTGTAGAAAGGGGCGGCTGACATCAAGCGTCTTCTGAATATTCGACGAGAGAAAGCGGATCTTCAGAAGGACACTACAAAACAAATTCAGAAGCTGGTCCGTCCTTTGTGTATTTTGTGTGGAAAACTAACTTGAATCGTTCAATTCTTAACTCTGCATTCTCACCGTACATGTACCTGAGCCTCCTTTATCTGTCACCTGCCCAATTAAGATTTATTATGAATCCTTCTGTATATCTATCAACTATTTCTCTACTAAGTGCGGCTTATACTAACTTTTCTTATTATATGATAACATTCGTTTGATACAAACCATTAAGACAAGTAACGTATTCACCTCTCTAACTCCTTTCCCTTTTCTCATATTCATACTTATACTTTCAGACATTCATGATTTCTGATATTATGGCGAGTGGATCGAATAATCAGCAAATTGATGCAGAAGTTCGTATTTGTTGTATAATCCAGGTAAGTAATTTTAAATTCACAATAGCTAATGATACTTTTTTTCAGGTGCGAATGTGGCCAATTGAAAACAAAGTTCCTCTCTCTACTACCGGCTTAATCGACGTCATTAAAATGGCAAGAAGTTGGAGGAAGAGAGCCCCTGATCGACCAGAAACGAAACCCACTATAGTCATGTCTCAGTTAGTTTTTCTATAGATTATACTGTTTCAAAACCACGTTAATATTGTTATACTTATTCGTTCCAGCAATGGAGTATCCAGAGTTGGTGTTTACATTGGGGCCAATATGTGTATAGATCAGATGGATTCAGATCATGAAGTTGACATTTTCCATGCAGTCAAAATGATGAGAATTAATAGGCCTCAACTAATTGACATGAAGGTGAACCTACTTCATAAATTTATTTTTCAAAAATTGGTTCAGGACGAATACAAATACTTATATGATGTGATGTTACATTGGTATATGACGAATGCAGATTATCGGATTCATGATAAGGTTTCACCTTTTTCAAACCAATTTGAACATTCCTGTTTGTAGGAGGAACCAAATGAAGACGAAGAAACGGAAAATGAAAACGTTACGTCTAGACCTCCATCAACACGCCAATCAATTCGAGATAAAGAACATCATCGAAAGTCAATTCGACGAGAAAAATAATTGACTTCTACAATCAAATCTATTTAATTCTCATTTCTTTTCGCTTCTTAACTCTTGTTCTCCTTATTCGGTTGTGAACTTCGAAGGTGCAAGCTGAGCTTACCATTTGACCATTCGTTGCATTGCTCGTTTTGATCCTTCTTTTCTTAGCTCCCTCTCTCTCTCTCTCTCTCTCTCTCTCTCTATCGATCTTCTTCTTTTCTGTAAGAAGAACTTTAGGGATTCTCATAATCAATCCACTTTTTGTTTTACTGATCCAGGTCATTTTAAGCGGGTTTGTTCCATTTTGCTCAAAAATCTTATTTCCTCACGAAAAATAACTCTAACTATTATCAAATAGAGAAGATCTAGTCATATTTGATAAGTTTGTAGAACTTCATATTTTCCCTGTGTTTTACACTCCATTCTCAAGATTTTTAAGATCTTTCCTAATTTCGTTTAATTGTAAATTCTAAATAAGCCAATGAGAACATATCAAATATTTTGTGTATATGTTACAAAAGATTATCTGTTTCATTACTCTCCATGTCAGCAAACTTTATTTGTTTTTATTTCATTTTCGTAATAAAATTTTATTTTACTAAATAGGCACTTTAGTATATTTTAGTAGTATGTGATGATGAGGGGTGTACTATGTACCAAAACTATATCTGACTTTCGAGCTTTTTCGCGACTCTTAAATTTTTAAAATTAATTTCTATCATGTATGATTATTGCCTTATAAGCTTTCGCATAGCAGACGACTTTCGCGCAGGGCACCAGGCACGACCGATGAAAGGTATTTATAACAAAAACAGATAAAAACGGGGTTACTCAGTGTCGGTCGCTTCGTCTTCAGAGCAGGAGCTAGAGGGTGGTGGCGTGATGCTGAGGCGCAGTTCGGAGAGCGCCTGATGTACTCTCCAAACGTTTAAACAGGTCGTGGAGACTGGAATCCTATAAAAACAAAATGTAGAAAAGGAGTGATATAAGAAAAATTTACCTCATTCACTGAGGGTTCATCAGCTTTCGGCGCACCACGAACTGGAAAAAATCTTTTAAAAACCACCTCATAAAACTTTAAAATTACCTTCATGGTGGTAAAGCAGCTCATCAATTTGTCCAACATAGCTGAATAAGGCTTGCCGTAAAACTTCAATAGTCTCCCCATCCATAGAGAACTTTCTATAAATTCAAAAATAAAAAATAAACCGGAAAGAAAAAAATAATATACTCACTTTTCTAGCACTAGTTTTTTGAGATTCAAAAAATTGCCGTAAATGGTTCTGGCTTCATGCTGAAATGAAATGTTAATTTTGATTTATAAGAAAATTTTTTTATTTACTTACCGTGTTGTATCTTCCAGCCATCAGTGCGATCGACGAATGCAATGCAAGGTCTATCGTGGAATGAATCAGGGTGCATTATTTTGTAGTTTGTTGTGTGGGAAGTTTGTCAAACGTTTGAAAGAAGTGATCAAAAATTTTTCAAGTCAAAATATCATTCACAAAACTTTTTAAATAGTAATCTTCTTTGTTCATACGCACGTTTCATTTTCATACCTCAAGTGTAGTTTCCATTGATTTGCTTTTTCTTGTTTGTTAGCAATCTGCTCACATAGACTGTTGTTGTTCATTTTCTCAACATACCAATCCCTGCAATATTAACTATACATATATTCATTTTTCATATAAAAGTTTTGCTTCATACCTGCATTGAATCATCATTTCGTCTATAATCTTATAGATAGGATCACCAATGGTACATTTGACTTTTGTGCAGCTCAAGTTGTGTGTCCATTATTATTTTTGCTATAACGGCTATAATGCAGTTTACACATGTTATTTTCTCTCTCTCTCTCTCTCTCTCTCTCTCTCTCTCTCTCTCTCTCTCTCTCTCTCTTTATCTCTGTGCGAATTATGAAAGTACAAAAAACGATAAGAACTTATACCATTTCAACGTACTGATCATAATAAGATCATAATTGACAAAACTTTGGTTTCTACCTCCATTCTGCTATTAGTTAATCAGTATGTCGCCAATCTCATTTCATAACGACGTCACTCCTTACACATCGATAACCTCAAGTTTTCTTCAAGTGAAGTCATATGTAAATTCAAGACTTCATCACGCAAATGATAGTTTGGTGACTTTGTAGAAACCTCTGCAATGGCAAACAATTTTGACTTCCTCGTGTTTTGAACATGTTTCATTCCTTCACCTGTTAGAACCATTTGATTCAAATAAATAATTCTTGTTCATTCGCTCTTCTTTAACTGGTTCAAGTTCCTTTTCTAAAAATCTTTGAGGTCTGTATACTTGGTGTATGATCATCATCTTGAAGCTTCAGAAATAGCTTAATAGATTTAACCAATAGAATGTTCATGATTAATGCCAATACGTTTTGCATTTTGTAACTCGAGCACGATGAGTCTTTGAAAATCCAAAACAAAACAGACATCATCTTTGAACTGCTGATCGTATGATTGGGTTTATGAATTTTGTAGTTCCAACTGCATTTTTTGCCTCAAATGAACGTGAAACACTTGTGATAACGTTATTTTCCTCTGCATTCTGCTAAACTTAATTTTTCAGGAAAGGACGAACAACGCACAAAAACTAGCTTGAAATCGTTAATGTTATACAGTATCGTCTTATTCTCTTTGTCACCTATAGCTGTCATCTGTTTCATTCTCTCCTTCTACTGTATCTTATTCCATTCACCAGCTGTAATGAGCAGATATTACAAGTTAACCTTATATTTTCAATCATCGACGTATGTTACTAATCAAAAAAAACAAAATAATTCGAACTCTTTTTTTAAGAGCCTCTCTTTCAACTTTTCTTTTGACAGCTGGTTCTCATCCTATAGTTTTATCTCCTTGTTTAGCTGGTTATCCTATAGGTTTTCTGAATTATGTTATGTCGACAGATCATCAAACAGCTTTCCAAGTGTGTCTCATAAGCTGTAAGTTTCAACTTCAAGCTTCTCATCTCATCATAAACTTTGAGATACAATAGGATCAAACATTTTTTTATTTTACCTGCGTTATGAGGCTCTGAATGTTGAGAGCTTCATTAAGAAACATAGTACCCTACGCTATTTCCTCTTCTTCTTTTACATCTATACGTTCTACGTTATCATAACCTTAGTAGCAATCTCATTTAGATTAGAAAATAAAGAAAAAGAAAGAGAAAACTGCTTGAAGGTTCTCATTATTCCATATTATCATATATATTCTACCTTTACAGATATACAAAGGAGATCTACAGAAAATCTATAATGAAAGAACAATCTTCCTGGCTTTCTTTCGAACAGGAATTCCCTGTGCCTTTTTCCTCATCACAATCATCTACGTAATTAGCATGTACGCAGTTGGTATCGCGTTCTTCGGAGCTCTAACACAGAAAGCTTTGACGAGAGTTAGAACACACATATCTGTTCAGAGCCTACGGAAGCAAGCAGTCATCATAAACGTCCTATACACCCAGGTTTGAATTTCTGTATACTCTTCCACATGAACTTCGCATCTTCAAGACTATAATTCAAGTCGTTTTTGTGAGCATCCCGTTGTGTTTCCTAGCTTTTCTCTTCGTTTCTGAAGCTGATATATCAAATGGTTACAACATTCAACATCATTCTCAATTCAAAATCTTTTATAGAAAGTCACAACTATAGCATTGCAGTTATGGCGGCTGCTAATGTTGTAGGACCAGCCTATGTTCTCTATACTATCCCAGACTATAGGAAAGCCATCATAGGGCTTCCCAAAGGATTCAGCAAAAGTGATATACAAACCATCACTCGGTCATCATGAAAAATCTTTCTTTTTTCTTCCGCTTTTCTTGTTCATGAT